ATTGAGATGGCAGTTCCTGCACACGCTAATGTATCATTGAAGATCTTCAAAAACTATCAAAATGCAAGTATCTTGAAGTGGAATCTCAAAAATGTGGCACACGAGGATTTTCAGTTTTAGTTGAGGGCTCTCGTACTGATTGGAAAAGTTTTTAATAGACTCATTGAAGGAATTCCTGGTAGCCAATACCTTAAAGGAATACAAAAACTTGTACTCACGAGTACAACTCGCACCTTACAAACGACTTTATCGCTGTGAAATGTGTGTGACCATAGGTTGTTTTTTGTTTTGTTTTTTTTTTTGTTCTTTTTTTTCACAAAAATACTCAGCGAGAAATGTTATGATGACATTTCTGGCCTTAGGAACCGGAAGGAAATGAGTATACAACAGAAATCAAAGGAATTAATAATAATTATAATAGTAGTAGTAGTATAGCTGGCCACTCGTATTCGAGGATACCAGTCTACTAGCGCGGCTAGCCAATCCCTGTTGCAGACGCTTGCTAAGGCGCATTTGTGTTTATTCAACACCCACAGAGCCAACCAGTGGTTTATATTGTGACGTCCCTAAACACAGCCTTCGCTCGCTCCTCGCTGCTTTGTTCGGGTGTCGCCGCTCCAAACGTGACGTCCGCCTGTCGCGTCAGTCGTGCTGTCTCGTCCTGTGACGACCAACTGGCTTGGTATCGGTCGCGGCACCCAAATGTGACGTTCCAACCTTTTGGTGAATCGGTTGGGAATCTGGTTAGATTCGATATCAGCCTCGTCGTTCCCAACTCGCTTCCAACGCCTGGTTACCAAAGTAACTGCATTGATCTCCAGTCTGCCTACTCACGTTGTGAATTGATCTTAGGCAGACGAAATCAATCAGTAGTTGGGGCCGTAATGCAAATCGGGTTAAAACGGGGGTGACACCGCACAAATATGAATAAAAGAAAATAAAATGATAACTCAAAAATTCAAGGTATCAAAAAAAAAGGATAACAAACTTTATGTCTAGTTGTTGGATACATAGGACTGCGTCTATCTCCCGACCCGTTCTATGGATTGTGACACGTTTTTTTCCGTTAGGCGAGTTTTAACACTTCAAGTTGTTTGCTCTTTAAGAAATTGGTTTTTCGGTGTGTCTTCGGGCGAAAGTCGAAAAAACTTATTTTGGTGGTCTGGATCTAAGTCGCTCTTCAAAATAATTGTTCTTGGATTGAAGAGGAGTCCGGAATTTGTGCAAATCTTGGTCAGCCAATGCGAGGCTGGAACTCTCTGCTGGAACTGTCTGCTGGAACTAAAACTCGAACTGTCTGAACTAAACTGATTTCTGCTCGCTGCGGCCTTGCTTATATGGACGCCGACCAAAACCGGGGTGGGTTTGTCGGCGCCGGGGGTTCCTCGATAATTCTAAATACCTATCCACTTCTCTTATTTTTGGTTAGGAATTTTCCACTTCTTTCCATTTTTGGGAGCCCTCTCTTACTCCCACCTTCTCACCATACTTCAGAGGGGCGTGAACTGCCCTCCCCACTTCTTCGTAGCAACCTCTCATACCCATCCTCTAAATGGGCGGTGACAGCTTCCTCCTTGCGTCACGTGATCACCACTCGACCAATGATGTCTAGTCGGGCGTGTACGATTCCGCGGCTTTGTTTCAGGAAAAAAAAATATATCTCGCTAAAAAAAAAATTATTTTACCCCGGTCTCATCTGGACATCGTCAGTCAGATTATCGCTAATTATCAGAATGGGTGGTCTATGTAACACGGCCAGACCGTCGCCTCGAAAAGAAACATTTCTAGGTTCCATTCATTCTTTGGTACACATTTCTGATAACATAGTTTTATTATCGCAGGCTAAAGATGTTCTGTCGAAAGAAAACGGTCAGTCGCCACCTCGTGTGCTGCTTTGACACAATTAATTTTTCATATCTATCCAAAGCCCTGTAGTTCACCTGTTTTATGTCAATTATCAAAATAACATTTTTCAATTGGATTTTTTCTTTGGCTAGTCGGTCTGTGGTTTGCTTAATCAGATGCTTTCCCGCATTAGCGGTTTGTTTATGTATCCCCGATAACACCAGCCCGTCGCCAGAACACACCCGATTCCTTTATCCACTCAGAATTTCCCTCCCATTGTAATGACACTCTTCGACATTTGTTACTTATCAAAATATCCTTTATCCATAGCCGTGGGTGTCCTACTTATCATCCACGCTTTGGGTCTCGCCTCTCTTTTCTCTTCTTTTTTTTCTTTCCTTTCTTTTCTTTTTGCCTTAGTAAATGGTGCCACAATATTGCAACTATGCTAAGCAGACCTTAGTTACAGTTTCTGGGAAAGAGCGTGGTATCTAGCGTGATCAACAATTTGAACAAGGCCAGCACACTCAATCTCTCGGCCAATGGTTCTGTCTACTCAGTTTCACTCACAAGGTTTGGGTCAACCCGTGGTATGGTTTTTCCAGCCCGATGACATTAGGAAGTCTCTTTCCTGGCAAGTCGACCATGGTGAGATTCGAACCCAGGTTTCATGCTCAAAATGCGAACGTTCTAACCACTCAGCCAATAATAATAATAATAATAATAATAATAATAATAATAATAATAATAATAATAATAATAATAATTAAAACTAGATAGTCTTAATAATGATACTACAACTAAAATTAATAGTCATAATAACGATAATAGGTCTCAAAATAGTCTTAATAATGATAATATAATGAAAAATAAGTATTTTCAACAATGATAAAGAACTAAAAATAGTCATACTAATGTGAATAGTGCTAAAATAAATAGCCTTAATAATAATACTACAAATAAAATTAAATAGTTATAATAATGATAATAGAACTAGAAACAAATAGTTATATCAATGATAATAAAACTAAAAGTAGTCATACTAATGATAATAGTATTAAAAATAAATAGTCATAATAATACAAGTAAAAATAGATAATCATAATAATGAAAATTCAGCTAAAAATTGTCAAAATAAAGATAATAGAATGAAAGATAAATAGATTTAATTTAATAAAATTAAATTTAATACTCAAAATAATTCTAATACAACTAAAAAATAAATTTTCATAATAATAAAACTAAAAATAAGCAGTCATAATAATGAAGATAAAATAAAATAATTATAATAATGTTATAGAATTAAAGTAAAATAAATAATGATAACAAAACTAAAATAAATAGTCCAAATCATAATAGAAATAAAAAGTCATCATAACAATAATAGAACTAATGATAAATAGTTTTAATAATGTTAATAGAATTAAAATTAAATAGTCAGAATAATGATGAGAAAACTAAAATTAAATCATCATAATAATGATAATAGAACTTAAAATAAATAAGTAAATAAAAATTGTATATATGTGCTTATATGCAGATATAAATATGTATATATAATGAGATCAAAAGAAATATAATTGGCTCAAATGCTACATTTCTTGCGAAACACCAGCATGATAGAAATAGCGTTCGTTCCAAAGAATATAGAGATATGATATCCATATTTGCATTTCGATTCAAAACTCTTTGTCCATCTAACAGATAAGTCTTGAAATTTTCTGTTTTTTTTTAATATATGTACACACAAACACACACACACAAGCACACACACACACACATATATATATACATATATATATTATAAATTAACTGATTGAAAATATGATTTTTTTCGCTACACAGTTATAACCATGTTTCAAAAATGGAAGCTAAAAACTTTAAATTTAATTATATAATTAAATTAAAAGTATTAGTTCCGTTTCATCTTCAACCGAATATATATATATATATATATATATATATATATATATATATATATCTTTCTCATTCATGCATTGATTCATATTTACAACGCTTAATATAGACTGACAAAAAAAACTCAGGGGTAGGTACACAGTAAGGATCGAACTCACTTCGCAGTTCGTTCCACATTTAGCATATTTTTGTTTCCAGAAACTTTTATCGAATTGACAGAAATCAAGCCTGAAATTTTATATTTTAATTTTATGCACTGTGTCCCATTAGAACGAGTGCAATCACGGCTCTCTACAACTTCCTATCTTTTGTAGCTCTAAGCAGTATTTCCCCGTTATTATCCATCCCATGTTTCCCCCTGTCTTTTTTGCCTTCAACATAAACTGTGAGTGCCAAACTCTCCAAACCATCTTTCTTCTTTATGCGACATATCAACTGTCATTTTCTAAGTACAAGTGTTCTTTTTGCTTCCATTTTCCCTAAAACTTCTTCGTTACTCACTTGTCCAGTCTATGGCATTCTCAGCATTGTTCTGTAGAACCAAATCTCTGTTGCCTCATGTTCTCCTTTACATCTGTGAAAAAATTGTCCGGTGTACACTTGCATATACGAGGATAGCATTTCAACACTCTTTTCTTTGGTTTTAAAATTTTCCTGTTTCTTAATACTTTGTTTAGCTTTTGGAAAACAATACGATTTCGGATTTCTGTGCCATATTTCCTGTCATCTATTAAAACACGTCCCATATTATTCAATTTCTGTATTTGCTTCATTTGGACGTCTCCTATTCGTAACTCGCTGATTGGGCTGTCATTCTTGTTAATGACCATACACTCTGTTTTCTTAAAATTGATAGTTAGCCCTTTCTTCCCGCTTTCCTTTACTATATTTCCTGTAGTTTTCTTTCTGTATCTGCCATAACAATATTTAATCAGTTACAAGGTTACAAGTGGGATGCACCCAGTGAAGATCGAACTCACTGCAGTTTTAATGACTTGTAAGTCTAACTTGCTGAATGTTGAGACGCCATTTTGGTTTGTCTTTCCTTTCTGCTTCAATCGAACCTGACATCTCGCCTCTTAGAATTCTATGATTTGACACTTGAACCAAACCTGTAAATAAGGTTGGACATATCCTGAAAGAAAAGAAAAACTGTATTTCGTACCTCCGACACTTTTACTAACAAAACTCTTTTTGTAATTTGTCGTTGAAGTTCATTTTATTGTGGATTTATATACATGTCTTTTTTTCTCTGTCTGTCTCTTTTCAAAAAGCGACCGTTCATCCATGTATGTATGTATGTGGATGTGGCGAGAGAGTCAAGCAATGGTATTAGTGGAGGAGGAGAGAGGGAACACCATTGGAAACGCCGACATAGACTGACCGCGGATTTTGTGGTTGAATAGGTTGAATAGTTGTCCAGAGTGCTCCGGGTTCGCACGCAATGTTCATAAGATGGTGTCTATGAATGGGTAAACATTTATTTTTAGTGTTTTATCTTCTCCTCAGTTAATATAGACATTTTCTTCCTTTCGCTTTCTTCATTTTTTTCTTTTTCATTTCTTTCTTCAATTCTATTTTGTTTTTCAATCTGTCTCCATTTACTACATTCGTTTCTTATTTATTTTTTTTCTTTCATTCTTTCTCGTTCATTTCTTTGTATTCTGGGTTATTCATTTCTTTCCACAAAATATTCATTCTTTTTCTTCCTTTCTCTCTTCCATTTTCTGTCTTCATTTACTTTTTTTCTTTCTTTCTCTCTTTCTTTCTCTCTTTCAAATTTCATTTTTCTTTCTTACTTTATGTACTTGGTTATTTCTTAATATTTTTTTTTGTTTTTAACTTTCATTTTTTTCTTTATTAGTTTTCTCATTTGTTTTACTTATTGGTTTGTTTTTATTTCTTTCTCTCTTTCACTCTTTGTTTTACTCTTTTTCTCTCTCTATTATTCTCTCTTTATTTATTTCTTTCTTTCTTTCTTTTTTTCTTATTTGCCTTTCTTTCCACCAAGTATATATTCTTTTTTTTATTAATTTCTTTCTTTCTTATTCTTTCTTTCTTCGCGTATTCATTGTTTTTCTTTTTCATTTTTACTCCTTTCTTTCTTTAACCGTTTCTTTCTTTATTTCTTTATTTCTTTATTTCTTATCTGCCGATGTTCTTTCTTTCCTTTTTTTTCTTTCCAGCAAATATATATTTTTCCATCCATTCTTTCTTTTTTCTTTCTTTCTTTCTCTCTTTCTTTCCTTCTTTCTTTCTTTCTTTCTTTCCTTCTTTCTTCCTCTCTTTCTTTCTTTCTCTCTTTCTTGTCGATGTTCTTTCTTTTTTATTCTTTATTTCTTCCACGTATCCATTGTTTTTCTTTTTTAATTTTCTCTTCTTTCTTTCTTTCTTTCTTTCTTTCTTTCTTTCTTTCTTTCTTTCGTTCGTTCATTTGTTCGTTCGTTCTTTCTTTCTTTACAGGCAAAGCCATGTGGTTGTGTATAGGCGACTAAAAGATGAGAGTGAATCTATCTTAGCAAGGCCATCCTCGGTAAAACGTACACACTTACACACGCATATATATATATATATATATATATATATATATATATGTGTGTGTGTGTGTGTGTGTGTGTGTGTGTGTGTGTGTGTGTGAATCCCTTTCTCTTTTCCTCGTATCGAACAATATATTTCACATTACGCCAAGAACTTGACTTGAGGAATCTCGATGATATACCAAGAGATAAAGTCTAAAGATCTTCTAAGATTTTGGTGCTAGCTGCCACCCCGTTCCCACTAACCTCTTCCTCAATATCTCACCCCATTCCTACCTACATCCCCACTTCCGCCGCCACTTTCACTGGCTCGAACATTCTAACCGTCTCCCCCTTCGTGATTTCCTTTCGCATGTGACTAGTGCTTACCGGCGTACATATCCCTCTTAAGGTGCTTACCGCCAGTAATCCCCGCTAGTCATTCAATGTGCGACCAATGGACTTACACTTGAGATTGACCAGCCACTGATCGACCAGGACTGGACTCCTGATCGGACAGGCAAAAAGGCAAAAGTGGGAGGGGGAGACAAGAAAATTGAGATAGTTGGTCTGACTGGCAAGCCACGAGCCGACATTAAAACCTTTAACGCGCGTACGTGTCTGTGCATGTATGTGCACGTGTCTGTGTGTGTGTGTGTGTGTGTGTGTGTGTGTGTGTGTGTGTGTGTGTGTGTGTGTGTGTGTGTGTTGGAACGTGTTCGCTCGTCCGAGTCTTGGCAGTGAGGATGCGCGTGAAGCCCTTTCTATCTTGTCAGAATATGTACGCCAGACATGGATGGACGTAACTTAAGATGTATTGGTATATATATGTATATATATATATATATATATATTATGGCTTTGTTATAAATGAACTAATTCTTTGGTTACTTATCTTCTGGGTCTAATTTTACGACTATTGCTTTTCCTTTTCTTTTTCCTTTTCTTTACTTACTTTTTTTAGATCTACTTTTTCTTTGTTTATAATTCTGCCTCTTTTCCTTTCTTTTTTTTTTTTTTCGTTTTTCTTTGTCTATTTCTCATTCGCTTTTGTACTTTCTGCATACTTTTTTAAAGTTGTTATCCGTTCTTCTTTACTTTGCTTATCCTCCTCGTCTTTTTTCTTCTTCTTATTGTCCGGTTCGCTAATTTCATCTTTTATGCACCCTCCTCGTTCTTTGTCACCTTCTTTACTTTCTTTCAGTTTTTAGCTTTCTTTTCGTCTTCTTTTTTATGCTTGTCCGCTTCTTCTTAGTCTGCTTGGTCCTTTTTTCTTTTTTTTTTTGGTTTTTGTTTTGTTATTCTTTTTATCGTGGTCTTGAAATTTCTTCGTCTTAATCCTCTTCTTCGTCTTCTTCGCTTTGCTTTTCTCTTTCTTTCTTTTCTTCTCTTTCTTTTCTTCTCTTTCTTTTCTTCTTTTCGTTTTTTCTTCTTTTTTCTCTTTACTTTGAATTTCTCTTTTTTTTCTTCTCTTCGTCTTCTTCTATTCTCCTTTTTCTTCTTTTTCTTCTCTTTACTTTGCTTTACGCTTTCTTCCTTTTCTTTTTCTTTTCTTCTACTGCTTTTCCTCTTTTCTCCTTTTTTCGTTATATGATTTTTCTTCTCTCTCTTTTTCTGCCTTCCTTCTTTCCTTCCTTCCTTCCTTTACGTTCTTCATTTTCTTCAATTCTTTCTTATTTCTTCTTCTTCTCGTATTTTTTCTTCTTTTCTTTCTTCTTCTTTGTAATTATCTGCCAGAGATCATTTGTTCCATTTCATTTTCTTGCTTTCTTAGACAGATGATGTCGTGTGATCTTTGTTATAAAAACAACTTCGCATAAAACGTGTGTGTGTGTGTATATATATATATATATATATATATATATATATATATATATATGCACTAACCTTTTGTACATATAGTCCTAGATGAGTGTGTAGTTACTTAGGTAGGTAGGTTGATAGGTAGATAAGTATTATTATTTATGCAGCAGGGCTTATGTATGCCTGCATGCGCATCTGTACTTCCTCGCAGGCTTAAATCATTTTACTGCTTTCCGTTTCCGTCTGGCTTTGTTGCATTTCATTCTTAGTCTTCACCCTCATTGACTCTCTTTCTCTCTCTCTTTCTCCCCTTTCTTACTATTACTCCTTTTCCTTCCTCTTTATACCATTCTCTCTCACTGTCTCTCTCTCTCTTTCTCTCTCTCTCTCTCTATCCTTCTCTTTATGTCAGTCAGACTCTTTTTGTTCTCGTCTGTATATCCTTCTCGATACATTTTTTCTACTTTTGTAGTCCAAGGATCTCTCCATGTCATTCTCTCTCTCTCTCTCTCTCTCTCTCTCTCTCTCTCTCTCTCTCTTTCCATACCCGCTCTATATATCTATTATATATATATATATATATATATTGTAGAAAACACAAATATAATGTAAAAAAAGATTTAAAATAATGGAATCTTTAACAATAAAAAGGAAAAAGCCAACTCTTAGTAATATTAACTACGAACAAGGCCACAATGTGCTAACCGTATTCGGAAATTAAAAACATCTCTACAACACACTAAAACATACACATAATGCACACACGCAGTTAAGCTGAAAAATCGAACCATCCTTGATAATGGCTAAAGGTATAGCCGAAAGCGCTCAGAACTATGAAGCATTTGGACAATTTTTACACACTCTTTGTCCAGAAAAGAAAGCTCTTGTTTGAACACAAGAAAATTAAATAAAAAACTTAACCGTAGTACCTTGTCTGTTGTTTTTAATGAAACATGCATATATATATATATATATATATATATATATATATATATATATATATATATATATATATATATATATTGTGTCTGTGTGCGATGGATAAATTGTCAGCATTTTATATTCTTAATTATGCGCATCCGCATTTTTTTTTTATTTTGTCAACTGCACGGTATATTGATTTTCCAAGCGTAGCTTAGATGTGTCACAAGGCCGAAAGTTTGGGGCACCCAGTAAGGATCGAGCTCACTATTCAGTCGTAACTGTTTTAGCGAGACAAGCTTGCTAACCATTACACCACGCCCAGGTGCCCTCAACTACACGGTATAGTAGGGTCAGTTGGGCAGCGTCAGTGAATTACATGTGGATAAAATTCAATACCCCAAATGAAATATGGCCATTTCGCCCAGAACGCCCTTTTCAACACCAAGGAGTTAAATAAAAAAAATGAATCACAATGTGTTTGTAAATAGGAAGAAAGAGGAGGGAAATTCACCACTAAGAGAAAATGTATTTAAAATGGGTGCGGGAATAGAAAGATAAAGAGAGAAAAAAGGAAAGGAAGGGAATAAATTAGGGAGTGGAATAGAGTAAATGAATAGCAAAGAGATAAATTAAAATGAAACATTTTCGAAGGTATATTTTTCAAGGTAATTTGAAATGAGTGATCAGAAAAGAAAAAGAAACTATATGTAGTAAATGGTAATGGATTGTCCGAGGTTGAAAATGTATTATATCAGTTTGAATTTACTTCTGTGACGACATTTGGAACTAATTCATTTCTTCGATTCAGTAAAATATATTGATTGTCAAATTTAATAATTCTAATTTCCTCTTCTAGGCATAAATTACATCTACCTTTAAAGTTACTAGGTATTTGAGAAAAACCTATAAATTCCCTGTCAATTGCAGGGTTCAGGTCTTTCTCTTTCATTTCCAAAACTTTCTGGAGAGAGCAATTTGGTGTTTCAGTCTTGGTTTGGAAAAAGAGTGTTTATGGTTATAAAGTCTTGGTTTCCACTCCCCCGCAGAAATACCAATATAAACATGATCATTTGATCTCTTTTCTTTGGGGTAAATGATAGCTTGATAAATATTAGATGTTCTAAATTTTCCTTCGAATGCGCAAAAATTGTTATTCTTACAATTACAGAGTGGGGAGGGGGGTTCCATACTAAAATTTTTGTTGACACCATTGAATTTGTTTAGAATATATTTGTTGTGGGAGTCAATTATTTGAAACATGTTGTTTGCACATGAATAACTTATTTTGACATTTTTTCTATTAAAGATCTTACTTAAATGGTTGGTATTCCAGAAGTTTATAAGTTGCAAGAAAACTTGTCCAATAATAATTCTGGATAACCTATAGAAGGGAGGGGGTACCATATAATATTCCTTTTTCTATTTTTCAGCGCCCTACTCTTCTTACCCTCACCATTGTTATTTATGGGGTTTAAGTAAGCTAGTTTATTAATAAATCCACTTTTTGGGGGCGCATTTTCGTATAATACTTTATTTTTTATTAAAGATACTCTTATTAGATGACAATTTGCTAATTCTAGAATTAACAGTAATTGGTATCTTCATCAAGATAGTATAGGGGTGGTTAGAGTCAATGTAGTTAGGAGTTTCGTGTTCTTTATGATAAGGTTTAAATGTATTAGTCTTCAGGTCAAGTGGGATGTCTAGTTAATCAATTTTTTTAATATTGAAGTAATTTCTATCTTAAATCCCAGTAATTTGAATGCTCTAATAATAGAAGAAGAAGAAGAAGAAGAAGGAGGAGGAGGAGAAGAAGAAGAAGAAGAAGAAGAAGAAGAAGAAATGTAACGGTTTCGGGTTAATTGAAATGAACATTACTTTTTTATCCAGCCTCATATGTGATTAAGAAGAATTTTCAAGCAAGGATTCAAGACTCCAAATTTCTGGTTCAGAAGGTTACATATATATATATATATATAGGGAGAGAGAGAAAACGTTTTTGTCGGCCTGTGTGTGTGTGTGTGTGAGAGAGAGAGAGAGAGAGAAAGAAAGAGAGAGTGAGATAGAGATATATAGAGAGAGTTTATTTTCTTTTCTGGATATAAAGTGTGTAAAAATACTTTTCTTTTCTCAACAACAAATCTGTCCAAATGTTCTATATATATATATATATATATATATATATACTCAAATGTTCTATATATCCAAGAGCTTACAGCTATTGTATTAGGCATTATCAGGATTTTTTTTTAATTTTTATTTTTAAATAATCTACAGATTCAGTTAAAAATAAAAATAAAAAAAACATAATATTGATAATGACTAGCACAATAGCCGAAAACGCTCGGATATATGGAACATTCGGCCAGTTTTCACTGACTTTACTGTTCAGAAAAATTTGAATAAAAGCTTAATCCCAGTACCTTGACAGTCGTCCTTAATTAAACTTATCTATCTATCTATATATATATATATATATATATATATATATATATATATATATATATATATATATATATATATATATATTTTCTTTTTTATAGCAAAATACATGCAAATTTGTACAACAGAGGATTGTATTAAAATCTGCTTGTACAGTGAGTACATGTCCAATAACAAAGCGGAAATTCTTATTTAAGCAGACTTGCAGAAACTTGATAAAGTTCGCCTTATAACGCAAGTTTTGTTTCGTTTGTATTTCGCACGCCACTCTCGACATCTGTGTCCGTCAAGCCGCGTATGATATTAAGGTAGACAGATGTCGTTGGAGTGTGCAATAGAAATACTTACATTTGTCTTCTGTAATATTCCGCATGCAAATAAATTTAGCGTGTGTCTTGGAGTAGCATCTGAAACGGAATTTTAATCAATGGTAATAATCGATGTTGGAGTCGAGACAAAAGCCAGATTTGGAATGGGCCATTTTTTGATAGTTTCCTCATTTTTTTCACAATGTCTCTGCACATACTTCCCCCCTGCGGGTAAATAATCATACTAATAAGTACTATTATTCAAACCATAAGTACCTTTATTCAAAGGAATGATGACCTTACCGTTAAATTATTTTCGAAAACTAATTTTTCTATACCATTTCGCAACACCGTTACTGGCGTGCTCCCATAAGCACGTCTCGAGTAGCAAGAAGCTATCCCTTAAATATTAACTAGATTTCTGAGTTTTTTTACCCATTTTTTATCGGAGTTTGATCTGTGTATTTGGATGCTTCAAAAGCAAGAAAGGATTTCAAGGAAAGAAAAAAAGCTGGCAAATTATTGAGTCATAAAATAAATTAATTCAGACCAATTTTATCAATGCTTCATTAATTGGTTTCTTACGGATTTTGCAGGCTATTGAAAACCAGAAAAAATTTTAGATTGTAAACACTTGTCGGTATAATAATGATTTATTGATACAAGTCCTACTAATTAACCCATAGCTAGAGGGAGAAATGGTGGATTGATGCATTACCTAAGAAAGAAACATTCATGTGTATAAATCTAGAATATTTATTGTGGTGTCATAAACAAGGAACGATTAACGTTCCATGCTTCAAGAATGACCAACCCTGACTTTCGAAAATTGTACATGAAGTTTCAGCTGAATGAATTATTTAGACGCAAGACTATTAAGAGTACGAAACTAAATTTTTAATTATTTACACTATTTACATCGTTCAGACTGTTATCCTCATTTTTATTGCCACATTCACGACGTTTCGGCCGTTGTACACTCCGACCTTCTTCAGGTGATATATGCTGGAATTTTGAACGGAAACCTTTATTTAGTCCAAGTGAGTAGATTCTTCTAATTCTACGTGCCATGCCTTTTTTATGTCTCAGTATCACTTAATTCTCTTTGGTAACTCAATTTCACAAGTTTTATTTCCTCTGCTGTGGCCAAGTACTGAACTCAGAACTCTTTGGGACAGCTCACTTTTTGAATTACTCAACCAACACTGGCCTGTGCGCCCTTGAATATGTCAATAAAGATGAGGACAACAGTCCAAAAGATGTAAATAGTGTAAATAATTACAATATGTCATCTCAGAAATATAGACAGATCCTGAAGAAGGCTGGATCGTACAACGGTCGAAATGTCATCTCAGAAATATAGACAAATCCTGAAGAAGGATAGATCGTACAACGGTCGAAACGTCGTGAATATGGCAATAAAGTTGTAGACAGCAGTCCGAACGATGTAAATATTGTAAATAATTACAATAAATACATCATCTCAGAAATATACACAGATATCGTAAAATTATTATTTATTCACATCCGGATTTCGGCGAATGGGTGTGTGTCTTTAGGGTTTTCTCCGAACGTGTATCTCTGAACTTTTTCCTCACACTTTATTGATTGATTGACTGACTCTTTTTCTACGACTTATAAACTCTTTGCAGGTTATTTAAAGCCAGAAAATATTTTTAGGTTCATTTTTTTTCTTTTTTTAAGATAATAATGGTTTAGTGACACAAGTCTTACTAATTAACCCATAGCTGGGGTAAGAATAGGTGGATTCATAACTTCCCCATGGATATTTGCGCATAAGTGAATATAACAAGATGCAGAATCCAGTTATGAAACTGCAACGGGCGCCTTCTGTAGCATGTCCGTCATGCGTAGCCCTCTTCATCCACTGGTTCAACTATTGAGATCTGTTGTAATCATCATCCGCTTGTTTCACTGCTGGGGGTCTTTGGGTGGGTCGCGCTTAGTCCGGGTCCTCATCTTCGATTTTGCCGCCAAGGGTGGCTCTAAAAGAAGTTAAGAACTCTCGACGGCATCGCTCTCAAAGTCATTGGACCACGCAAACCCCTCCACCATAAGGAGCGACCGTCAGCGGTACGCACATAGAAACATACACGCATAAACACGGATATATAGTTTAGGAATTTTTATATTAAGAATATTTAATACATTGTATTTGTTTAATTATTTATTTAGCACGATAATTCTACACTTTTTATATTGAAGCGTGACATGTCTCTTTTTTATGAAAGGGCGTCATTTTTCAGATTATAGACAAAGTATTTCGAGTCCTAATGTTTGTTTTCTTTATCTTCGATTATTGTTTCAGTATCGTCGATTTCTTGCCCTATCATTTATTCAAACATTTTTAACAACAACTGCCTATATTTTTTTTAAATCATATCACCCCATACAAGGTAATAAGGCCATTAAGACACTAGGTGAAAACAAGAAGAAAAGGAAAACCTTAGGGAGTGAGAAGAATAGAAGACTAATGAACACTGTAGGTTGCGATTGACATTGCATTTAAATTTTTGAAAGTCCCACAAAAGAGAAGTGCCAGAAAAGAAACTGTTAACATAGAACTTAATGTTATATCTAACCAATTCGACTGTGAACTAATGAGACCTAGTCGCCAGTCTAGTACTACGCTTAAATTCATAAATTCTACACCCTTGTGCAAATTAATTAAAATAAAACGAACAATTCCGTTATTATTTAGTTTTTCTTTCGTATTTTTCCAATGAAATCAGGAGAGATTCCGGGCTAGTCTATAGTACTTTAATTTTCTCACTGTTAAGGTTTGCCAGCGTGTTCGTGCAGCGTTACAATTTTCGTAACGTCCATCGCAGACAATGGCCATAGGACAACTAATCGACAATCGAAACAATAGTGTCTGGGCGTGATAAAAATTTGATGCAATCACGGATGACGCAATATTTTTCAAATCCAAATAAATTTCATCATACACCCAAAAGTAGATTCATATTACTGCACACCACTGCAAATGACCGAAACTGAGCAAAAATTAAAAATCGATTACACCCTGTCACTCTTTACTGTATAGTGAAAGAAAGGAAGCTAAAGCGGTTGTTTCAATTAATTTGCACAAGCGTGTAGGTACCATAGGGAAGAGGTACCCTTTTCTTATTTATTAATTCATTTTGTTTACTTTTTTAGCATTGGTTCACATCGAAATATTCAATTTCTACCTCTATTATTTATCTTTCAAATAGTTTTCACAATAATAAAAAATGTTCTCATATATTTGATGATAATTTTATATTTTTACTATTTTCTTATTTATTGTTTGGTTTCTAAAGTAGTAATAATAATAATAATAATAATAAGTAGTAGTAGTAGTAGTAGTAGTAGTAGTAGTATTGTCACTTTAACATCCATATCATGGCCTCATCCAGGTTATATGGCTTGCCTTCATTTTTTAACACTAACCATACCCGATTTTCAATTCCCAAATGTTAAATGAAAATCTGTAATTTTTCCTTGTTTACTCATCATTCCCTTTACTGCTAGAAATATTTTGTATGATTACGAATAATAATAATAACAATAATAATAATAATAATAAAGGAAGCCAACAAGTTCAAAATGTAGTTTCAAGCGGGTGCAGAAATACAAGTAAAGCACAATACACAGACTGAAGCTGCAAAATGCTTAAAAAGAAAGCAAAGGCAAATGCAACCGACCAGATACAGAAACGATGGCAAGATAAACTGTGACATGGTCTACCCGTATCAAACAAGCTCATGTAGACAAACATCGTACCCATCATTGGCTACGTAGTGCAGGGTTAAAAGCTGAAACCGAAGCTTTTATTCTTGTTGCACGGGGTCAATGCTTGCTAACTAGAAATTACAGAGCACGCATACTGAAAAATTGTGTGTCTCAAACGCAGATTCTGTGATAAATATCCAGAAAAAAACTGATTATCAGGCTGAATTTAATATGGGGTATCCGAGCCCGTAGGCCTGACCAAAAATTCCCCATACACTCTGTATAAAACTGGGTCGGGTAGCTGTTTCCCAAGACGAGACTCTGCCCTTTGACATAGCCTCGTCTGGGGATCCTCTCTGCTCGGATTCTGAGAGTTTGACCAGCACAGCTGAAGGCGAATCTCCAACTGCAGGATATCTACCAACTGCCCCATGCAGTCAAATTGGGCACAAGGCTAATTTAATGTGGGGTATTTGAGCCCGTAAGCTCAGCCAAAAATTCCCCATATACCCCGTATAAAACGGGGTTGGGTAGCTGTTTCCTTTCGACATAACCTCGTCTGGGGATCCTCTCTGCTCGGATTCAGAGTTTGACCAGCACAGCTGGAGAAGAATCTCCAACTGCAGACCAACATACAGTATTTATTATTGTATTTATGCGAATGGGGACATGCACATTATGGTCAGTGAGTATGCTAAAAGACTGTTAGTAAGACATCCAGTGTATAATATATATGCCTGTTGATGCGTGCATGTTTCTAAAACCATAGAAATATATCGCTGTAAAGTTACTATTATTATTGTACAAAAGGATTAACTGCATTAAATATATTTCCCTTTATGAGATGGCATTATAAAATGTGTCTAAATATTTGAAATATGTATTTAATAATATATTCATATTCAGGTGTCGTCAAGTTCTGTGAAACTGTTCGGCACATGACGTCATTTATAAGATATTCAAAGATTTAGATGTGAAATGCAAAAGTTCCAAATAATTCCAACAAGAGGTTACTAACAGAACACTCGCTTCTGGTACTAAGAACATTTAGTTCCTGATATTGACCGAAACGGTCGAAATTACAAAAGTACAAATATATATATATATATATATATATATATATATATATATATATTATGCTTCTGGTTCCGTGTCGCAGAATTATGGAAAATAGAGTATAATATATATTTTATAAAAAATTTCACATTTCAACCCCAAAAAATTGCGATTTATCTTCTTTTTTAAAATATACACTTTTCTCTCGTTGTAACAACCATAAACTCTTCACTATATATATATATATATATATATATATATAAACAAATCACAAATGAAATGGAAAAAATATACAGGGTTAAAAACCAGTGATATTGTTTTTTAGAAAGTGGCGGAAGTGAAATTTCATTTGTGATTTGTTTGTAGGTTTTGAAGATTGAGAGCTGGTGTTTTTTTAAAGCTCTCATGAAATAAAAATTATTACCTATGGGATTTTAAGTGTCTGATATTCTTTAATTAATAATAATTTTGCTGTGTCATTTGACATAGAGCTCTCTGGATCTATATCCTCCTGGAAATTCCATACGGATTACCATATTGTATCATTATATATATATATATATATATATATATATATATATATATATATATATATATATATAGGAAAAAACACCAAGACGAAATATGTGTAGTGTAGACCGAAAGATTATTTTTTTTAAATATGCTATTTATTGACAGTTATATTATTTTGAAGCGTGTAATGCTGCGACGCTAGAATTCTTGTTCAAATCAATAAAGTGAGGATTTTGTTTGAATTTTGTAATGTGATAAATCCACGAAATTTTGTTGTCATATATATGTTTTCCACTTAAAGGCATGAACTTAAGTTTAATCCAATTAGTCGAGTAAATTGACTGCTCGGCATTCCTTACAATAAGGACCCTTCATCATCTGTCTCATCTATTATGAAAAATAACATTTTTTATTCAATTCGTCTAAAATAAATGCCACCAAATTTTCTAATCTTTCTAATCCTAATAGATTTCATCCTTCATCTACAGTCGACGATTCTAAGAGACTCCGTGCCCTCGTCAATGCTAAGTTGATCGAGGGCGATGTCTCAGCTGCAGTGAGAATATTGGCCTCATCCGGTACTATACTAGCTACTACACCAGAAGTTCTCACAGCTCTCCGTCGGAAACATCCTGCGCCACCATCAGATGTCAGATTTGTTCAGATGGAAAACAATGATTCAAATATTGAAATCTCAAAGGAAGCAATGGTTGCCGCTCTGAAGTCTTTCTCGGGAAGCAGCAGTGGAAGTGTGGACGGCCTTCGACCTGGTCACATCAAGGACTTAATTTCTGCCCACACTGCCGAAGCTGGTGAACATTTGAAAAAAATCCATAACAGCTCTTATTAATTCCCTTCTCCGAGCTGAGATACCCCAACATGCTCGCGACTTAATATTTTCAGACAACGGCTTTAAAAAAAAATAAAAAGACAGTGGTATCCGCCCAATCGCTGTTGTTGGTAACATTTTTCGTCGTCTCGCGGCAAAAATTGCTTGTAGAGTTTGTTGTGAAGGAGATAGAACATGAATTGCAACCTGTCCAGCTTGGGATATGGATACAGGGCGGGGGTGAAGCCGCGGTTCATGCCACAAGATCATTCTTCAAGAACACATCACCTGTTTCCCCACGGATCTTATTAAAATCAGATATGAAAAACGCTTTTAATAGCATCAGAAGGGATCATACCCTGGAAGTTTGCCATCAATGGACTCCTTCCATATATAAACTGGCTCATCTTTCGTATAGTCATCCAAGTATGTTGATCGCCTCCGATAATATTATCTCTTCTGCTACCGGAATCCAGCAAAGTGACCCACTTGATCCGCTACTATTTGCGATGGCTGTTGACGGCGTAGTTCGTTCCATCGCCTCCCTTTTCAATATATGAATCTAAAAGAGAGCTCAATACAAAGTAGAGCAATATTCTTTATTTAAGGATATTTCATCGAAAACATGTCAAGGTCTCTACACAATTGCAGTCGTGTTTCGATGCGTTTTCATGTGAGTAAAGCCTATAAACCTTATAACCCTACTTTTCTTTTTTCTTTTTTTTTTCGTAAAAAGAGGCTGTATTTTGCTTTTAATATGAATAAATCGTTCACTTGCCAATAATTTACAATCGCCCTATGAGAGGCGTTGATACGCATCGAAACACGACTGCAATTGTGTAGCGATTTTAACGTTTTCGATGTAATATCCTAAAATAAAGTGTGCACACACACACACACATATATATATAAATATATATAATATATATATATGTGTGTGTGTGTGTGTGTGTGTGTGTGTGTGTGTGTGTGTGTGTGTGTGTTGTGTGTTTAGGTAGCAATCCTTCATTCATGCACATTTCATTGAATACGACAGACAAAGTGCTTTTATTTAGTTTTTTATACAATTTCTCATGCGATATAATAGTTTTTTTTTTCTTTTCGGATGATAAATTATATAAAAACTGTCCGAATGTTCTTTTTATTCGAGCGCTTTCGGCTATACATTTAGCCATTTACAAGGATTATATTTTAACTGTTAAAATAAGAAATAGCTTGCTGTATGTATGTTTTATAAAATGTTTTCATTTTTCAAAACACGGTCAAGATATTATGTCCATGTTCAAAGTTAATATCATTAAGTGTTGTTTTTTTTGTTTTTATTAATAAGGCTTCCATTATTTTTAGCCTTTTTTGCATGTAGATAATGCTATTATATTAGTGTTATCAACAAGTATGTTACGAATAGTGTCCCGTAGGTCTCCATGAATATTTAAATGAGATCTAATTGAGCTATGGTCAGAAAGGTGCAGAGTGAGTCTGCGTGTTAAACATGTTGTAGTGTGGCCTATATAATTATCTACGAATTTTGATTGATCAGGAATACATTTCCTTAATGGACATTTAAATTCGTAAATAATATTTGACCTATTTAATTTTGTTCTAGGAGTGAATATATATATATATATATATATATATATATATATATATATATATATATATATATATATAGTAGATAATTCTTATTTGAGATATGCGCCTTATTTATATTACAGAAGTAGTGTGTATTACGTCTATCGGCTTACACTTTCGATCTCTGCCTGAGGACACCTTTTCTTTACTCAGATTTCTCGAATGCTCTGGACGACAGACCTAATACACACTACTTAGTAAATATAAAATAAATAATTCAAATAAGAAGTGTCCACTATAATAACATTTTAAGTAATAAACACACACACACACATATTATGAAATGGACAAAGTCCGACAATTATTTTTTAAGGTATTTTTTATAATTATACGTTCTTTTTATAGATACAAATATTTAAGTAAATGCTCTGTTTCTAATAAACAGTATTAATAACATTTACCGAAAATTGAAATTTGGATATGAAAATTTCTCGGACATTCAGGCCGGTAAATGTTATTAATACTTTCTATTATGAACAGAGCACTTACTTAAATATTTGTATCTATAAAAAGAATGTATAAACATAAAAATGTCTTTAAAATAATTGTCGAACTTTGACAATTTCATAATGTGTGACGTCATTTGTTTACATATGGATACGCATTGAGCAGATATGAATGTACGTGAGAGAATCATGGAAGATTGTAGTTTAAAATCGACCTTGATAACCGAACGCTCCTCTGTGGCCCAATCGGTTAAGGCATGTCAGGCTATATGACGGTTCCCTATAGGATACAGGTTCGATTCCTGTCGGAGGACGCATATTCTCTATTAAAATATCTCGGACATTCAGACCGATAAATGTTGTTTAATACTGTTTATTATAAAATAGAGCATTTACTTAAATATTTGTATCTATAAAAAGAACGTATAAACAAAAAAATGTCTTAAAAACACACACACATATATATGTGTGTGTATGTATATATTGCGTATATTTTGGCAGCATGTTTTCATTGAGACATGTCTCATTAAATAATTTAGACAAGTTTTGTCTACTTAATTTTAATATGATCCTCTCATAAGTACAGTACATAACATTATCTTTTTCACTTCACACGTAAGAATTAATTTAATTTTCAAATGAACCCAACAATTTTGTCTTAGAAAAATGATGATCACAACAAGACCCTGATGACGACATTCTGCTAATGTCGAAAGTACTCGGAATAAAATGAATATGCATCAACATGGTAATTTCTTTCTTCCTCACCACACTGGCTGGATGCATTAACTATAGAGTCCAGTCTACCCCATTGTGCTAGAAGGCCGTTGACCCTAACAGAACGTCCATCCGCCCTTTGATAGGTCGTATTTTAATCTTGGTGCCTCGTCATGTAAATGTATGAGTTCCTGGATTGCAAAGGAAAATATTTTGTGCGGATTACTTCAACAACGAAGAGAACAAATCACTGTAAGTTCAGACTGGAAGATCAGGGGCAGAAAAAATGTCGAAATCTCGATTTACAGGTACAATGTCACAAATCACAACGCATGTAACTAGTCAGAAAAATAACTTGACCGCCGCGGTCGCTAAATACACGAATTTTGACATTTTTTTTTCTCCCTGATTCGAGAACACCAACTGCTTTTATCTGCCGAGTATTATTTTTCATTCGTTAACAACTGAGAGAGGGCGCCAAATATTAACATATCAAAATACTTTTATGGCGACTCCTACGACTGACTTGTTTCTAATTTAAATATTCCGTCTTCAGCATATTATACAGAATACATGCCCTTTTTTCGGTGAGTAACTTTCTTTTTCGCCACATTTTCCTTCATAGGATACACACGATAAACTGTCTCTTGGTTTGATAAGATAATTCGCCGTTTTCTTCGTTATAGTAAACTGACATAAAATATATTATGTTTCGATTATGTGCATGAGTTAATTTTTGTTATACAAAAAATCGTAAGTAAATAAGATATATTAAATACGGTGGAGTTATGGATAGCGGCTCAGATTGAGATATTGGAGAGCCGAGTTCGAATTCCAGTCGAATCCATTACATTCATTTACGTACTATTACCCTTGGGAAAGGTATGAATCCTCTTCTTCTCCCCTCAGCTATGGGTTAATAGCAGGACAGACCGGGTTCTATAGCCTTGGTTGGCAACTGGTCTACCGCAGAAAAAATGGCAACCTAATGCAGGAAAAAGTCCGCCTCGTCAGCCATGTATCGAAAAATAGATGATCGTCTAAGTGTGTATTACGCATAGCACATAATTGAATGAACTTATAGTTTATTGAATTTTACAAATATTTAAATTGTATATTACATAGCAAACATATTTATTTATTTTTTTTATTTTATTGTATTTTTTAAATTATTATTACAATACTTATAAAAAAAACGCGATATAAGAAAGTAAAGACAATAACAATATTTTGACAGAATGTCTGTTTTCTTTAAGTTATGTTTAAAAATTGCATACAAGCATAAATATATTTTTTAAAAATATGTCTTTGTACAAACGTCGCTTTTGTGAAAAACGGTTGTAATGGTAATCAACGCGTCAAAACGAATGAAACAGCCAGAGGGAATGGAATGCAACTGAAACTGAAGTAGCATAATGGGCTCCGATTGAAATTTTGCGTCAGTTAGTAAAGATAATTAATCAAACAGTTTAGTATAAATCTTATGGAACTCTCCTGTTATTTTGTTTGTTCAGAAGGTGTGGGACGTTAGTAATTTGCATATGTAATTTTTTTTGTTTGGTTTGGTTTGTTTTACGGTATATCAACCTCAGTGGGTTATTTAATACCAACAAGATGTTTATTGCTGGTAATAATTTTTTTCAAAAATTTATTGCTGGTAATATTTTTTCTTCAAAAATGTATTGCTGGTATTAAAACCTATTTTTACACATTCATAGTGTTTTGACCCCAGTTTGGGGTTAACTATTTGCCCATAGCTGGGACCCTAACAGGTGTTACCACTCCGGGTCAGAGTGGACCTGGAAACAAAAGCAATTAAGAGATGGTTCCACTCTCCTCAAAACCTCCCGACCAGAGACCTTGCTGCTGGACGTAGTTTATCGTCTTACCCAGGACGCGGATGTAGTTTATCATCTGACGCAAGAAGGCTTCTATTAAAACTACAGTTGTCCGTGATAAAATTATTATTATTATTATTATTATTATTGGTACATTATATAATAATATATGACCTGGATATGAATGTGCTCCCTCAGGTTTGCTTGAAAACAGCGGCTTTACGTCCACACATGGTCATGAGATTGATGATGATGATGAGGATTATGATGATATGCGTGTGTTCAAATACGTTTGTTAGGGTGTATGAAATCCAAATACTTATCACAACTCGTTTTTGGAGAAGCAAAATGTTTGTTCTATTATTAAACTATTATTAAACAGCTAAGA